AGATGCAGCATTTTCTTAGAATATGACTGTTGATCAATTTCTAAATTTATTTTTCAGTGATAAATTGTAAGATGAACGATAGCAAATCAAATTAACATTAGAAAGAGCTCTTATTCCAGTTGAAAGTGAAAATAAGAAATAAATTATGAAATATAATATGAAAAAATAAAATCGATTAGTTAAATTATCAGAATAAGAATAAAGTGATAATTTAAAAGTAAAATCTATTAAATATTTAGATTTAAACTTCAAATAATGATTGGGAATTTAAGATATAATCTCGTTTAAAAAAGAGTAATGAAAGATCAAAAATGAGAATTCAAAAATAATAAGAATAATTTGAATAATTATTGGCTGATGGAGAAAACTAATGGTTTAATTTGTGTTTAGGATAATGAAAATTATATATATATATATATATATATTAAAGTTTGTTTGTATTGAAAATTCAATTTATACAATCATATGAATAGAATTTTCTTATAAAAACTTAAATTTTTGTATTTTAGTATGATAGATAAATTCAAATTTCATTTCCAAAGCAAGAACTTTAAGATAGATTAAAATATGGGTTTGAAATTAGAGCACAAAATAATGCTAAGTGATAACCCTTTTAAGATATGATTCATATAATGGATATTTTGATGATATACTTCAATACTTTGTTATCAAGGAGATTTGAGTAATTATTGAACCTGAAAAGGTAAATTAGTTTTTTAAATACATGATCTGCTTAATGGATTATACTAAAGAAGAAATCTTTTGTAGAACTTTACCTTATCATATATATCATAATTTATTCATTTTTTGTCCTTTATTTTCATTTTGAATATATAAGTTTTGGTTAGATAAAGCTGCAAATGTCTAATTTGTAAAATTAGATGTGACTAATATCTGAACTATTGATTTTTTTAAATTATTAACGAAATGATTAAAACTGCGTATAAGAAGCAGCCACTCATTCCTAAATTGTCTAATTTAACTTCTGCAATTGAAATTTAACAGCCTTTATCTTGTAGATAATAAAAATAGACATATGTTTCATTTATTTAACCTTCAATAAAAACTACAAGACATAAGGAAAATAGTTATAAATATACAAAAACTCCAACAAAATCAGATCATGCTAGCTTGAATGTAAGTAAACATAGCAGATCACCAAATAGTTCTCAAATTCAATCTAGTTAAGCAATCTTAAATGTTTTAAATCAAAATATCAGATTAAGATAATAACAATAATCATATTAATAATAAAACTATAAATCAAACAATGTTACTCCCTAAAAGCAAATTTAACAAGAAGAATAGAATAAAATTGATAAATAATAAACATAAGAATTGTACTAATAAATAATTAAATAAAGACAATAAAGTATTCGAAATAATTAACAAACTATTTGTTGCATAAATCATGCAGAGAAAAAAGCAAAATATTTTAAAGTAAATGAAAAACAAGAGAGATTATATTTATGTTCTTTTTGTGCTATTTAAGAAGCATATGATGGATTCATATATGATATGAAAACTAATTCATTAATTCCTAAAAAACAATAATAAAGAAGTTGGACTTTGAAATATGAAGAACCAATCACTATAGAATAGAACAAAAAGTTATAATAATTAAATGAATTCTTAGAATTAGCAAAATAATTATATGATTCTGCAAAAACAAAAAAAGAAATATCATTAAAGTATAGTATCTAAGAAATTCTTGCAGAAATTGAAAACATTAGTTAAGATATAATAAATAATGCATAAAATATCATCCAAAATGTAGAATCAAAATCATTCTAGATGATATTGTAAAATTATGTAAATAGATTGCAATAATTTGATATAATTATTAACAAATAAAATTGTGTAAATAAATTACCTTTGAAAAAGTAAGTTTTAATTAGTTTCTAAAATAAAGATAGCTTTGTGAATCCTGATTAAATGGAATCAACAGATTCACTTATGTTAAGAGAATCAGAAACTTAGCACTTTTTGGATGATTGTAATGATGTTACTTTATATTCACCAAATTTCTGAAAATAATTATATGTGTAATTCATCTTTATCAATTTAAAAATATATCACAATTAGATATTTTATTCTATCTAATTAGTTTTTATAATCAGAAATTTATTTAATATTGTAATATAAATAATAATCAAACTATTAATTAAATACTAAAAAATATCTAATTATAGATTCTAATTCCATCTATGGAATTATATATAGAGAATATACTATTTTAAAATAGAAATAAATATTACTATTGAATGAAACAGATTTTCCAAAACATTTTCTATTTTATCAAGTTAAAAGAACTTAAATTAAGATGTCAACTAAAAATATTTAATAACTAAGTAAGCTTGAAAGATAGATTAGAAAAGAGTTTTGAGTTTTTCTATTAAATTGAAATTAAGAAATTATTTACTCTATATTAAATATTTTATAGGCTTATTTGTTGAAAAGATATAAAATTCATCCTATGATCTTTGAGAATCAAATATGATTATAAAAAATTAGAAATCAAATCTAAAAGCATATTGATTAATTATTTTAAAACAAAGCTAATAAAAAGATCTTGAAAATACAATTATCTTCTTTATAATAATATTATTAAATTAGTTTTTAGATATAAAATTGATTGTAGTATGGCTCTTATTAAGATTTATGAATAAATGTAGGAAATATCTTTACTCATTAGATCCAATTCAATGGATGAATCCAGTAAACCAATCAAAAAGCTAATTCTCCTCAGAATACCTCTCTTAAATAAAAAAATTTGATGCTTATTATGAATAGTCTTCTTCAAATTAGCATTTTGATTGGTTTACTGGATTCCTAAATGACTTAGGCTAATTAAAATCGATATTAGAAAGCATGTGTAAATATTAAAGATTTATGATTATTATATATGAACAAGTAATTTGAGTAACAAAGAGTAGCTTCTGTTGTAAAAAGGAATTTACAAAAGTTTAAAATACTAGTAGGCGATAAAGAAAAGAAATTTAATGATCTCTTAACTCCATTTACGAAACTCGATACCTTTATAGATGCCAAATCTATACTCAAATCAATAGTAAAGCCATCTAATAAAATATTGGATCCCTTAACAACTTGTGAAATTCAAAGGTAATAATAACAGAGAAGCACATTTGTTAATGGAGATTATAACTCTGATAATTTTTATGAAGATGTTGATTAATTGATCAATCACTTAGAAAAAGAATAATCAGAAATGATAACAGTTGGAACAAAGAAAATAAGTAAAAGCGAAATACTCGAATTCAAATCAAAACATCCAAATTATGAATAAGTTAGTAAACAATTTGCTGAGAAATCTAGGAGAATGATTGCAAATTTGAATAGACAATCTACAAGAATATTTAATAAGAAATACTCATTGATACATCTATCCCCTAGATAATCAATTAGTAATCAAAATATTGCTTTAAATTCAGAGAGAGATCCATCATCATCAAAATATTCTCATTCTAAACACCTTCAAGGGTTAGAGTTAAGACAATAAAAGTCTCAATTTAAAATAAAAACAGAACCCAAATCTCAAAGAAACTATAACTAAAAAATTCAATAACTAATTAATGATATTGAAGGAGTACATAAATAGATGATAGATGAAACAGGTCAATTATAAAAAAAAACCAGTAGGTTTATCTTAAACTAATCTAAAAGTAATTCTAAAATTGCTTAATTCGACTATCTTGCTTCTGATACAAATTTTGCATTTACAAAAATAAAAAAAAGAATAATTTGATTAATAATTCAATTTTATAATAAATTTTATTTTGTTTATTGAATTTTATAAAATCTTAGAATATTTTTTCATATATCATATAAATAATTATATCCTCTTATTCCACTATTTTGAAATTAATAAATTAGAAATAAAATAAATTAATTCACATCACTTCAATAATTATTTATAAATCTCAATATGGCATTATTTATATATACTTATAGTAAATTTCAATTGAGAAACCTTTATGAACCTTAGAATAAAAATGATAAATTTATAAATAAATAAAACCATTTTGATATATTGGATTTAAAAATTTTAATGGTAAATCCAATATTTATTTGAATATAGAAGTAAAAAATCCAAAGATTAAAGGCCTTATATTAATTATTATTAATTCTATTTAAAAATATTTATTGAAACACTTTTCTATAACTTGAAATGATTTAAAATAATTTTAACTAAATAAATAACAAATCTTAAATAATTAAATTGTATTTAAATTTCAAATTTATGGATTTCCAAGCAATTTATAATTATTTAAATAAAATGAATTTTAATTTTAATCATTTTATAAATATTAGATTCAATATAAAAAGCAGAACAAGATCCTTTTTGAATACTATTAATATTATCATTATATCATTTGATATATTTTTTCGATTCCTTTTGATTCAAATATTATTAATGTAGGGGATCCTATGCAAAAAAAGATTCTATTACTTAACTTGAAATTGATTAACAAAAAAAAGTATTTGATATTTCTATTTCTTCTATAAATTTCTTAAAAGAAGTATTTTATGATTTAATTAATGTACCTAATAATCGTTTTATATATTTAATAAGAATTTTAATATCAAATAAATATTAGATATAAAGCGAACACAGTCTAGTTTTGTTTTTATAATAATATTATCTCTAGTTTAATTTTATTATATTAAAATATTAAAATAAATAAAATGGTTTTTGCAAAAATAGCATTAGGAACAGCAGGTGCAGTTACTATTGGATATATATTTGTACCACCATTTAATAGAAAACTTGAAAGAAATGTTCTAAGACCAATTAGAAATTATAGAAGACATTTATAATAAGAAGATTCATTCAAGACTGAAGTATGTCACTAATAAAATTTGTTAGGAAGAATTCTATCAATTCTTAGGAAGTGTTGCTTTAGGTACCTTGAGAATGTTTACAATCGAAAGCGATTGAAGAATTATTATATATTAAATAATATCAAATATAATTAAAGAATGATCAAGCTTCGTTATTTTTTTGCCAATATTCACAAAACTAAAGCTTATGATAATCTAATGAAATAATAGAAAGCTTAAGTAGAATTAGTTAAGGATTACATGAATAAAATGAAGAATGCAAAATCGTAAATACTATTTATATATAAAGGGATGATGAGTTAATCAAATTAAAATATTAATCAATAAATGAATTTCATAAATTAAAAGATGAATAAGCTGGCATTCTTGAGTAAATCAAATTAGAAAAAAAGAAAAATTTTGAGAAACATTTAATTAGTATGGAAGTTGATCCTGCAGATATAGAATTACTTTATAAAGGAAAATAAAAGAAAAATAAAGATGAAATAGTAGTTGAGAGTGAAAATCAAAACACTAATAATGAATAAAACACAAAATAAGCATAAGAATAAACAAAAATAAATGTTCCTAAAAATTTAGAAATCAGAAATTTAGCATCTCCTATTAGAACTTAAGGACATCTCATTTTATTAGGTGTTTAAAGACATAATGCATAGCATTCTACATATGTTTATGGTAAGAAATTTAATTAATAATTTTAGATGCTCTATTTCATTTGAAACCATAGGTTATTATGACTGATTTGCCTGTAGATGATCCATTTTTTATTAAAACTGAAAGTAATTACAAATAAACATGGAAATCTTTTATTGAAAATAAACTTACTCCAACTTTCCTTATTAATCCATAACCTATCACTTTACCAGATGTTCATTTACATAAAAATAAAGTAAATTGGATTTTTGAAAATAATATATCTAAGAACTCTTAATTTATTATCAATCCAACCAATATAAGTGAAATTACTAAATCTGTATTTGATAAGGAAATTGAAATAATTGATATTCTTAAAACTCCATTTTTATTCAGTTATCATCATACAACACCTATAGTAATTAATGGATATCCTGAATTAAATTATAGATATTATTTAGCAGAGAATTGTTAGCTAGATGATTTAAAAGAGTTATTAAAAGAAAAAAAGATTGCAAAACAAGAAAAAAGAAGAAACTTTGATCCTTTCTTATTATAACCAGACTTATTTATTTTACCAAAAATTAAATTTATGATTGAAATAATTAAAATGAGTAAATATGTTATTTTTATTTTAGCTTTAACATCATATAGTACTGGTGTAATTATAACAGAATCAAATAAAATTAATTAGATTGAAGAAGAGTGGAAATAGTCTTCACATCGATCAATTTCAACAGATTTAAGAACTTAGATATATCCAGTAAAACCTATTAAAGAGACAGAAGAATTTATTAAAAAATTAATCATTTTAGATGAACTTATCTCACCATTCATATATGATAATTTTGTTAAATTTAATAGCTTTCCTTATCAATTTAATTCAGTTTTTAAGATAAGTTTATAATAATATTGGGATAATTACAAAAATTAATTATCAAGATGAGTGATTGTTTATAGGTTATAATGAATATAGAAATAGAAATTCAATTAAAAAAGTATTTTAAATATTTATCAATATCATTGATTTTATGTACAAAATAATTATATATAAAGTAATTTTGTAGATAATAATTATTATTATTTCTTTATTTTTTATCCATTTATTTGATATCAATTGAATAAAATCTATTTCATAATTTCTATGTTATTAATTAATTAATCATTTGATTTCATTTAATTAGTATTATATAATAGATAATTAAATTTGAGTATCAGAATTTCTTGTATATTTTAAGTGAGCGCATTTTTTATTTTAAATAATAAATTTATGACAGATATTCCAACTAGTTATTAAAGAATTAATGCAGACATGATAACAAAATTCAAAGGCTAATATGTCACACTTGTTGGAAAATTAATATAAAACAAAGGAGATTATGTTGAATTTATGGTAGATGGAAGTAAAAATTATCAGATTTTATATAGCAATTGTAAAAGTGACTGAAATTGAAGAAGTTCCTGAGAGTAATGAAGATATCCTTTTAGAAATAAGAGGCAAATTAAATGATGATGGTTATTTAGAAGCAAAAGAATTTACAGAATTAGATTAGACATTTGATTTCGAACTATATAAAAAAGTGATAAATATGGTTTAAGGTCAATTTAGAGAACTGTTTTATGATTGAATTAATTAATTAATGAAGTAAAATTATTACACTTCAAATATGCTATTTTATTTTAAGTTTTTGTTTGTATATATTTATGTAAAAATTCTGATAAAAATTAAGAATCTCAATTTTAACATTTTATGCTAAAAACTAACTTATTACTTATTATTTATTGAAAATTTCTCCATAACTTAATTGAAAATTATAGATGAGAAGTATTAAGTATTTAAAATAGCAATTAGTATTATTTGATTTATTTGTAAAAACAGTTAGGTTTCTGATACTTTTTCAGTAAAATTGTCTAATTATCTATAGGATAAACAAGTATATGCTTCATAAAATAAATATCAATCAAAATGGATTTTAAAAAAAGAAATAAAAATTCTATAAATAGAGATATTTATAAGATCTTCCTATAAATTCTACAAAATTGCATTTATTTTTTAGATATTTAATAAGTATAGATAAAATTGTGATGAATAAAAATTAAAAAAAATATTAATATAGATAATTTACATTTATTTTAAAGCCTATAAAATTGAAATTATTGTTAATAGAGATATTAGGAAAGAGCATCAAATATAATTGTAAAGGAATCAACAAAATTTAAGAATAATAGGCTCCATAATAAACTTTTGATAATTATGAAAATAATCTATTTATTAAAAATTTGCAAATAAGTTTAAGGATTTGTGTTTGAATATAAAAAACCTCCTGATCCTTTATAAGACTTAAAGAATAATTAAAAAGACAAAAACTAAATATAAAAATAATATTAAAAAATAATTTACTAGATTTCAATAATGAGACTGTTATCTTACACTAATATTAATCTATTGATCAAATTTTATAATTAAAAAATCAAAAGATTAGCATTAAGAGTTAAAATAGATTAAAATAAAAATATCCAAAGGCAAATTTATAAAAGATAAATACTTATCAAAATTCTTTTATGATAGAATATAATAATATTATTAATCATAATTAATTATGTAGCATCATTTTTATCCTTTCATCATAAGTAAAAGTACATTGTTATTACATAATTGTTTTAACAAATTAAAACTCAAGTTAAAGAAACTATTAAATCAATTAAGTATTTGTTAATAGTGATTAGGAAATATCATCTGATTTCTCATTTAACCAATAATAATGATCTTAATTCCAATCAATTATAGCTATGGCTTCTAAGACCTTAAATATTATGAAATTCTTACAGGATCCTATCTTAGTAAAATATTGTTTCCTAAATCTGTAGGTTTCTTATCCTATACAGATGATATAAATTTTTTGATAATTTTTTCTTAATCAGAATTTAATGCTTTTTTATTGGCTTTCTTTTTAATATCTTTTATCATAACAAATACTTATTAATGAACTAAATCTTATTAGTTCATATATGGCCAATAAGCTATAATCCATTAAATATGATCCCAAAATAAGAAATAATTTTATTGTTGATGAAGTTTAATAGCTAAAATAGATAAATGAATCATGAAAGCCTTAAATATCTCTTAACTAAGATGGGCAACAATGTTATTTTAGCCATTCTCATATATAAATCTAATTGCATTTAATGCTAGCAATTTTTATTCTTNAAAATTGAAATTATTGTTAATAGAGATATTAGGAAAGAGCATCAAATATAATTGTAAAGGAATCAACAAAATTTAAGAATAATAGGCTCCATAATAAACTTTTGATAATTATGAAAATAATCTATTTATTAAAAATTTGCAAATAAGTTTAAGGATTTGTGTTTGAATATAAAAAACCTCCTGATCCTTTATAAGACTTAAAGAATAATTAAAAAGACAAAAACTAAATATAAAAATAATATTAAAAAATAATTTACTAGATTTCAATAATGAGACTGTTATCTTACACTAATATTAATCTATTGATCAAATTTTATAATTAAAAAATCAAAAGATTAGCATTAAGAGTTAAAATAGATTAAAATAAAAATATCCAAAGGCAAATTTATAAAAGATAAATACTTATCAAAATTCTTTTATGATAGAATATAATAATATTATTAATCATAATTAATTATGTAGCATCATTTTTATCCTTTCATCATAAGTAAAAGTACATTGTTATTACATAATTGTTTTAACAAATTAAAACTCAAGTTAAAGAAACTATTAAATCAATTAAGTATTTGTTAATAGTGATTAGGAAATATCATCTGATTTCTCATTTAACCAATAATAATGATCTTAATTCCAATCAATTATAGCTATGGCTTCTAAGACCTTAAATATTATGAAATTCTTACAGGATCCTATCTTAGTAAAATATTGTTTCCTAAATCTGTAGGTTTCTTATCCTATACAGATGATATAAATTTTTTGATAATTTTTTCTTAATCAGAATTTAATGCTTTTTTATTGGCTTTCTTTTTAATATCTTTTATCATAACAAATACTTATTAATGAACTAAATCTTATTAGTTCATATATGGCCAATAAGCTATAATCCATTAAATATGATCCCAAAATAAGAAATAATTTTATTGTTGATGAAGTTTAATAGCTAAAATAGATAAATGAATCATGAAAGCCTTAAATATCTCTTAACTAAGATGGGCAACAATGTTATTTTAGCCATTCTCATATATAAATCTAATTGCATTTAATGCTAGCAATTTTTATTCTTAAAGAATACACTCTAAAGAATAGGTTAATACTTTTGTGCTTTATTCATATTAGACATACTCAGTCAATCTAATTTACATGATTTACATATCTTTTTTACTGACTGTTAATTAAGTTGGTGCCTTTTAAGGTTAATTTTATAACAACACACTTAATTTTTAAGCAAAAGCATTCATATTCTTAATATCTGAGATGGATTAACCTGTAACATCTCTTATACTACAATCCAATATTTACCATTTTACATAATCATCAATTTTCTTTTAAGAATAAAATAAGAAAGTAGCAAAATTATTTAAATGAGGTACTTAAATAGTATGTTTTTTTTAAACTAATTGAATAACTTAATTCAATCTTGTCAGATATTATTAAAATACTTCTTCTGCCTATTATTATTATTTTAAGAATAGTAATTCTTAATCAACTTTTTAATTGAACTAAATAGCATATTATTAAAGTTCTTTTCTAATTAAAGATTCATAAGGTTTTCTATCATCCATATCTAATAGATTACCTTATCCACCTGTAAAACTATATTCACTTTAAAGATTTTTATCTTTATATACTAAATATACAAGTGTTTCTGGAGAATAATGCATTTCAATTTCAAATTTCTTTCTTATTTCTACAAATCCATCTTCAAAAAAAATTAATTATTCATTATTATTAATATAAACACATTCATATTCACCATCATATATAATAACAGCATGCAAATGATATTCTATTTTATTGAAATTTCCCATGATTAATTTAATTTATTGATCCATTTTTTTAAGTTCTTCTTTTAATTTTTCTAATTCTTAATTAGCATCAATAATTAATGATAAAAATCCTTCAATTGCTGGATCTCCATCAATTAATTCATTTCTTTATTCTTATATAATATTTATTGTCATTTGCAAGATTTATGGAATACTTTATGATGTTAATTAATAATTTTCAATATTTTTTATCTTTTATACAATTTCTTCTCTTTTTATTGTTAATTCTTTGATATCTGATTAATGTTATTTAATTGTTCCTTTATTAGAGTACATATATTAATCTAAATATATAATTGGCATTATAACAAAATTAGTTTTTCTTGTTATTTCAAATTATAATATTTTTGGTAATTCTTTTATTGAACAATCTTCTATTTCAAATTTCTTTTATAAACCTTCCATAAATGATTCATCATCTAAATCAATCTTTATCAAATTAAATGTTGTTTCATCATTTCCTATCATTAATTTTCCAATAAATAATTCTCTAATTGGATGCTCTTCTACAAATTCATTAAGCATTGTTCTATATTTTGAAATTGATTCATCAACTTTATCAAAAAATCTAACTAAAAATTCTTCAATATTTTTATATCTAGTATTATAATCATCCTTCATATATTAATATACTTCTATTGCTGAAGTATCTTTCTTTTTACAATATATTAACTAAATAAATAACTTTTACAAAAGTAAAGTTACTCCTTCTTCATTAATAATAGAATCCTATTTTTTAATTGTCTTAATACATCATATTATAAAATTTACTCAGCAAAGGATGGAAGATGAAAATATGTTAACATGAAACAATCTAATAACTAAAATTATGGTGATCTTTTTAAAGCTACTGGTACTCCACTCTTTCTCATCTTTAGATCTATTTTAGATTACATTTTTGTTGGAGTGTCATATTTTGTTGGACTTAAATTCATATTCTTATTGATTAATTAAAATTTCTTATATAAAAAGAAATACCTAATAAAATAAAATATTTTTTGTATATATATTTATCATCATTTAGAAATTTGACCATCATTTCTAAATATTGGGTTTATAACTATATAAAAGTATGATCAAATTTTTATTAATTATTAATTTAATTCTATTATGTCAACCATCAACGACTTTCTGAAAAACTAGATACAATCATTAACTGAATGCTATTTGGAATAAAGCCATAAATCAATAATATTGGATTTTTCTACTTTTAATGATGAAACATAATTAAATTACTTAAAATCGTAATCCATTAAATCTATAATAGACTTCTCCATTAACCATTGATAGGATAAGAAAATGAATATTATGAATTTAATAAGGAAAGATTAGAAAATTTGGATAATTTTGAATAGTAATTTTTGGAAGTGTTTTATAATGATTTGGTTATGAAAGATTTTGTATCTGCTGTAAAAACATATATTATATTATATAGATGATTTTAGCAAAAGAATAATTCAGTAGAAAATAAATACTAGATGAAAAAAACACACCCTTAGAATTTTTCTAGACAACTCAATCAACCATTAAAAGATGTTGTTTATTAAAAGATGAAGATCCAAAAGAATTAGCCACAGAACTTAAGAATTTTGGATATTAAAATAAACCATCAATTTAATTTGTATGTTTGAAAGTGGAATATGAACTTGGCAAATAATAGAATGAAAATTTAGAAGTTATTTGTAAGAAAGTTAGAGATTCATAATTATCAAAATTAGTACCAATATTTGATGTTCAATTTAAAAGTGATAATATTCAAAATCTTTATCATGATGCTAAGTTTGCATATTCAACCATAAATGCTGCACTTTTGAATTAAGAAGTTGAAACAGAATACATGATATTATGTACAAATATTGTAGATTTGGCAATACAATATTAAGGAGATATTGAATTAAATGGAGATAATTAAATTAGAAATTATTCTGATAGGTTAATTTATTTTGTATTGAAAATCTTATTTAATTCAATTCCTCCTAGTTATGGTGGAATCTTTTTTACTTTTGATAGAGGATTTATTTAAAGCAAAAAGATCTTTCATTTTATTAATAATCTAAATAAATTTGATATTTATATTGCTTGGCCATTTGGAGTTAAATTAAATGCTAAAATATTTGATGAAGTTGCTAAAAGTAAATATGTTATTAATATAATTTAAGGTTATTCAATTGTTTAAAGATAATAATCTGCAACTATTACATTTAATTAAATTTTAAAGATATTCTAAAATTGCTTAGGTGGACAGTATAAAGATGAAGCAGAAAAAGAAGTACTGTAACCAATCAAATTAGGCTCAACATCATGAGTATTATTTAGAAATATTTTAAATTAATAATTTTTTATATTATGTTTTTTCTAAATATAATCTTTATTAACAAATATTAGATGTATTATATAAATATAATAATTTTGAATTTCTATTTAATTATTAAGAAATATAATATTATAGAAGAAATTAAGAACATTAAATTAATAAATCAAAAGTTTATAGGTATGTTTAAAATAACTTATATTATCTTAATTATTTGTCATTAATTTTATTCTTGTTTTAGATCTGATAATGATTCAGGCTCTCCTTATTATTGAGATTATTCATTTGATTTATAAAATGTTCTATCTTTCACTAATTCTGGATGTTTAAGTTTGATATGTTAATTGAGAGACCCTTCAGCTCTAAAAAAAACACTTATTATGAACATTTACCCATATTTCTTTTAGCAATTTTCTATAGGACATGTAAAATGTCTTTCAATTTCTTATGCAGGTCTTCTTAATCTTTTCTTTCTTTCTTCTCCAGTTTCTTCAACATTTGAATTGAGCTCTTAATTTCGACGCTTGAATTTTGGTGATATTAAAAATTACTTCTAATTTATTTAATTTATTGACTAGTTCATTCTTTTCATTCAAAAGTTCTTTTAACTAATATAAATTCTATATAATACTTAATTTGTTAAAACAACATTAGCTATATAAAGTCTTAGATATTCATTGTAGTATTCTAAATTTTGATCTTATTATGGGACTAAGATTTGAATATATTTATACCTTGTTGTTCATCCTATCCAGCAACATAATTTTGAAATCTCAAAGGTTCATCACCCATAATAAATTTTTAATTCTCACCATCAGATCTAAAGGTATTGATATGTAAATACTTTGCATTACTCATTTTATATATAATTATTAATATTTTTTATTAATAATTTGCCTAACTTAAATTAAATTAAGAATTAAGCATGAAAATATTGTTTTCATTCATTTTAAATCATATAGATTGAAATTTGATATATAAAACAAAATTGATATAATTAAAGTTAATATTTGAGTATGAAACAAAATAAAAGTATATTATTCTTATATATAATTATTAATTTAACGGATATATATATGGACAGATTTATTCCGAAAAGTAAATCGAAATTGTTGTATCAATCACATACTTAATCAAATTATAATGATGTACTTTAATTTAATATTTTAGTTATTGTATCATATAAATGAAGAAAAAGTGCTTAATTTTGGAAATCAAAAATAACAGCATAATTATCCAATATCATTTTTGGATTAGTTACATAATTAATACAGATTACCTACTTAATAAACTATAAGATAAATTAGTTAAGTTCCTGAGAAAATATTGGATGCTCCAGATATTGCAGATGATTTTTATCTGAATATTTTAGAATGGGGCAATAATAATGTGTTATCAGTAGGATTGCAAAATAAAGTATATTTATGGAATGCTTCAAATTGTAATATATAATATTACTATAAATTAGAGCATATTGAATAACTATTATAAGCAACATCAAATGTTACTGCAGTTCATTGGATCAATGATCATATCTTAGGAGTAGGTTTTGATGATGCTTCTATTAAAATAGTAGATGTGTGTTCATAATAAACAATTACTTAGTTATATTATCATAATGAAAGAGTTTCAACAATGAGTAGTAGTTTTGAATTATTATCAACTTCTGGTAGAGATAATGTTATTTTCAATCATGATTTAAGAGAAAAGAATAATAATATTGTAGGTGTATTTTAGAAACATACTTAAGAAGTTTGTGGATTGAAATGGAATTAATCTGGAACTACTTTAAGTAGTGGAGCAAATGATAACTAACTCTTATTATGGGATAAAAGATAAATGTCATTGCGTTTATCATGTGAAGGTCATTGTGCAGCTGTTAAAGCTATGGCATGGTGTCCATGGTTTCCAAATATTTTAGTTAGTGGAGGAGGTTCTAATGATAAAAACATTAAATTTTGGAATTCTGATACAGGATTATGTTTCAAAAGTATAGATACAGGATCATAAGTGTGTGCATTATAGTTTTTACCAAGATATAGAGAACTGATTTCTTCACATGGTTTTTCCAAATTCTAAATTAGTATATGGAATGCAGAAGTAATTTAATAAGCCAAATTGATTTAAGAACTTTAAGCACATAAATCAAGAGTTTTGCATTTAGGCATATCTCCTGATTAATCTATGCTTTGTTCTGCAGCTGGTGATGAAACTTTGATATTTTGGAGACTTGGCACTGAGTAAAATAATTAAGATAAGCAAGAAATGTGTTCCAGTAAAAACCTATTTCTCAGATGATATTATATTATTACTACCTTACAAATAATTTAATAATTAATTATCTTTCTTTAATGATTAGAGGAGACTCTGATGAGTTCAAACAAAATGCCTCTAGCCAAATAATGTTTAGCAAATCTAGCAAAGAGATTCAAGATGTATCAACTTCAAGAAGAGATCATTTATTCTAAAAGTTACCCTCCTTAGATTGTACATAACCAAATAATTTTTGGTAAATAAAAAAAGGAGGTTCTGCTAGATGTATTATTGATTCTGAAAGATTATCAACTGCTTCAAAACCACTTACTCCTTAGGCATAAAAGAAACAGAAAAATTAAATAATCTAAATTGAAGAGAACAATTAATTTGATCTTGGTTCAAGTCGTCATTTCTAAAGATTGTTTACTGTAAAGAATAAAGTTAAATCATCTAATGGAAGTGTTAAAACTTCAAGAGATGAAAACACTAGTATGGTCAGTAGTAATATGGTTCTCAAAAAGTCTTAGTATCATTAAACTCAATAAATTCAATAATTGTAATAATCATAATAATCTGTATAATAATAGTAGTGTCCATTCTCTTCAGGAAAATCAATTAAAGACATTCTATCTTAATTTAAAGATAAAAAGTACATTTATTATTATATTTAACTTAGACCAAAAACTGGTATTACAAGACATAGTGAATTTGAAAAAATGGAAGGATTAGATGATTATGCAAAAGAATTCGGATAAGTATTAGTTTAGGATGAATTAATTGGACCTTTTATTGGTAGTGCTCATGAAATGAAAGGTGTTGTTAAAGCATTAATAGATTTAAGTAATGGAAATAAATTAGCATATCATTTTGAAAGTCTAAAGTAATTGCATATGAATCTTAATATAACAGATGAGATGTTTAATAGGTTTAAGTATCTCTATATCAAAAAATTAATAGATATGAAAATATCAATGGAAATTATATTTAAATGTGCATAGAAAGTTGAATATTACAGAGGAGCTATTATATGCAATGTATCCATTCTAATTATTATAATAGTCTCGCTCTGTTCAAAATGTTAAAGATAGTATAAGAACTATAGCCAAAAATATGTATGCTCAAATTTTTGAAGATTTTTCATTGAGTCCATTATTTAAAGGAACTAAATAAGAAGAACAAGCTATTAAATTTAGTAGAATCTTTGGGTTCATTTTAGGATCTTCAGAATCTACTAATTATGTTATGGATTCTATGAGAGACTTTCATAAAGCCTTTAGAATAAATTCTGTTTAATATTCAGTTTTTAAATACTATTTATCAGGAGCCTTATCTAAACATACTGAAAAAGAAGTTGTATGGTATATTCTAGAATAAACTGATGCCTATAAAGCTGCTGTAATAGATTAGGATAGTATTAAAGATTTAGTTTATAAATAATTTGGGATAGATAATTTTTGTATTGAATTCATTAAGTTATGTTAAACAGATCCTTATATTAATAAGAATTTCATACATAAAGTTGGATATGATCAATTTGTTTAGCATACTAAATATTTCTTACATTATGCTTTTAACAAATAAAATAATTGCTTTACTCTTGAAGATCTAAATTAATTACATTGTTAACATTAAATTAATATATAATTATATTAGAGTATTAAAGATAAATTATTTAATTTATTGGCAAGACTCAATCCTTAAAGAGTTATCTTTTAAGATTTTGAAGAAGAATTTGATATCATATTACCTTACATTATTAATAAAAAATTACCATGTGATATTGTAGGATAAAAGAGACTATGTGAATTTGTTCCTTTGATTTCAGATGAATTAAAATCTAATGTTGAAATAAAGAATGTTTTTGATAGTAATGATGCTGATGTTACAAAAACTATACTAAAAAAATTTGAATATTTACTTTCTGGTAGGAAATATTTTAAAAGATCAGATATCTAAGCTATACATTCTAGACTTAAAATTAGTGAGGCTGTATTTGAAGAATTTATTTATATTATTGAAAAAGTTATCTAATAATATGATACTTCACTTTTATGGATGATTGACGCCATAAAAGAATGGAAATATATCATAATAACTGTCTGAGAAAATTGTTTTGTTTTTGGAATTTAGTGTTAAATTTAAGTAATTATTATTAATTAAAATATTTTAAATACAATTGTTATTAATAATTAATCATTTAATATTAATTTATTTTATATTTATCAAAAAAATCAAGAATAAGAAATCGAATATATTGTTAAATATTTTTGATAAAAATCCTCAATTTCGGATTCTACTTATATTATAAATTAACATCATATTAAATATTTAAGATTATTAAATTATTTATATGTTGAATTCAACCGCATCAAATCAAGATGAAATAATTCTGAAATCATCAAGAAGATTTGTACTTGCAGATTAAGTTAAAGAATAAGAATCTGCTCCTATTTATCGACCTAAAAGATCAAGTAAAAAAGTGAAATTATCACTTGTAACCAATTAACCTTATACTTAATCCAAAATTTGTTATATTTGTCGTAGAAGCTGCATAATTAAATTATGTAAATGTGATGATGTATAATATCATCCTGATTGTGTAATTGCTGAAATGAAAAAGCCTTCATCTTCCATATCAACATTACAATGTCTTTTTTGTTTATGTTTCTTTAAAACTGAAATTAAAAATAAAAAGTATCACATCTTTCTGAAACTATAGATATCATTAAAGATAGAGATATAGAAATTTAACAGTTTTACTAGCCATCTCAATAGCTGTTCTCTTTATAGTTTTAGGAGTATTATGGAATCAACTTTAAGCATAATTGATAATCATTTTATTTATAATCAACATATTGCTCTCTCTAATTGCATTATATTGCTATAGAAGAATTTACTATATAGAAATAGATTGGAGATTAGTTACAGTAGATGATGAATTAATAGACTCTCAAGCTTATGAAAATGCAAAAATAATATTCCAAGCCTTTGATACAAATACTGCTCATTACATATTTGATACTGAAATTTAATGAATTATTATATAAATTTATGATAAAAAACTTGAAATTATATTAAAAATCTTGATGAATATTTAATTATAATAATTATTGGAAATGTGAACACTTCATTATATTATAAATTTTAGATATTTTAATATTGAAATTGATTTAAAATTATACTTATGTAATTATATTTATAATCTATAAAATCTAGTTAAAATATCAAAAGAATTTAAAGAGAGTATTTTATTCAATATTAGTAATTTAATAAAATGGAAGTTGAACCTCAAATTAAATTTGATTTATGATAATAATGAAAAAAACTAAGTAAAAGGAATTTTTAATAATAATAAAAACATGAATAAATAAATTATTGATATAAAATTTACATTTTAATTATGGATTCTTCATAAGATTAATCAAATCCAATGGATTCTAATTAAGATCAAAATAACTAAACTTAAGAAGAAGTGGAACACTTATAGAATGAAAGCAATGTGAATCATACAAATAATAACTAAAATAAGGAAATATTAGATGAGGCCCAAGTTCAGCATAATAGTCCAAAAGACAAATAAAATTAGTTTAAATAAGAAACAGAATAACAATCCTAAATTCTAAATATAAATAAAGAAGAAGATGAAAACTTAAAACATATACATTCTATTCCTTTAGATCAAAATAACAATAAATAAAATGAAAGTTAAAAAGATAATTTAGAACATGATAATAATAATTCATAATTTGTTGAATCTGTATATGAAACAATTCCATAATCTAATGAGAAATAAGAATAGCAAGAAAAAGTAGATAATTCTGTTGTAGACTAATCTCAATTTGAAATATTGGATAAATCTAATACTCAATAATAAAATTAATAGGAAACAATTTAAAATGAACAGTAATTTGATAATCAACTCAATTAAGCTTTAAATATATCAAAAGATGAATAAAATTAATAAGAACCAGAATTAATTTAACCTACACTTCATTTATATTAATAAACTAATATATAAAAGGAAGTTATATAAGAAGAAGAAAAACAAGTAGAAGATGGATTTATTGTTGATGAAACAATTGAAAGTTTATCTACTAATAATGTATAAAATTCTTAAGTTAACAATACACCACCAAAAGTAGTAGAATTAGATTAAAAATCATAACTTGTTATTTAATTCTAAAAATCTCTAGATGAAGCAACATTTCTAAAAAATTAAGGAAATTAATGGTTTTAGTAAAAGAATTATGGCAGAGCTATTGAGTAATATAATCTATCTTTAGGATTATGTGATCCATATTATTTAATGTAATGTCCAGAAGAATAACTTTAACAATTTAAGAAATTAAGAATAAATTTACTATCTAATTTAAGTGCTTGTTTTTTAAATCTAGGTGATTCTAATTCTTGTATCACTCATGCTAATATTGTAGATATTATTTTAATTAATAGGCAATTCAACTTGATCCTTAAAATTAAAAGGTTTGGTATAGAAGAGCTTTGGCATATTAATAAAAATAAGATTATGAAGAAGCATGGAGAGATATTGATTAAGCTTGGAATTTAGTAAAACATACTACTTAAAATTAAGAAATATTTGAAAAAAGAAAAGAAATTAGAGAATTATTAAAATAATCAAATAAAGAAAGAGCATAACTTTATTAAACTATGTTGAGTAATAATTAAGAATAAAATGAGGGTAAAACTTTAAATAATTAATCTAAAACAAATGAATCTAAATTAGCAGTTAGTGAAATCTAATAGAAATAATAGACAAATGAAAATAATTAAATAATTAATTTTAGATTTTCTGATATTATTTGGAAAACTACAGCATCAGCAGTTCTTGCTTCTTCAATGACTAAATTTATATTGGAAGAAAAACTAGATACAAAGATGGGTTTGATTGAGACATTGGTATTGGGTTCTACTACTGCATCATGTTTTATTGCAGAAAAGCAGTGGTAAAAACTTAGTTTTGCAACTGTAACAGCTGGATTTTTAGCTTTTGTTTTATATAAGAAATCAACTAAATGAGTTATAATATTCAAAGTTATAAAAGAATGTATTAATATTAGTCATTAATTTTCAATATTTTTATAAAATATATAATTATTCAATTGAATCTTAAATTATTGAGTAATTCTTATATATTTTTACTTGATTTGCTTACTACTAATCTTTATACTTTTGTAATATCAGAGTTTAATTCATCTTTTTCAATTACTAATTAATGTTGTTATTGAGTTAAATTACGAGAATTACTGTCTTTCTTAAGATTTTATCTAAGTTTAACATGTTTATCCATAATTCTATCATTTCTTCTTTCCATTTTTATCATATATTTATTTAATAATTCTTATTATTTTTATTATTTCTAAATAGCCACCTATTTCATTTTTTATTGAATATCATCTAATCTTTATTTAGCTTTTACATTACTGAACATTATTTTGTCTTATAATTCTTAATTAATCATACTTTCTCTTTAAGATTACATCTATGTTTTTGAATTTAGATTTTTATGCACTTTATTAAATTTACGATCTTATTCATCTTTAAATTTCTATAGAGCCTTTTATATGTCTTACTAGTTCTTAGAAGTCATGTAATTAGATTTTTCAACTTAATTACCTATTTTCTGAATCACCTTATTCTACTGCTCCTATTCTATCAATTAAGCCTATTGTATTCTATCTTAACTAGCCATACCTTATCTTATGAAAGTACTTCTTTGAGATGTTTCCATTGAATATTATAATTTAGTTCTTCTTTATTCTTCTTATTCAATTATATTCTTCTTTTTTTATCTATGATAATCCAAAGTTTATTGAGTCTTAGATTACATCATAATTTAGAATTTCATTTTTGATTCTTATAAGGTCTTCTAAATAGGTTCAAATTTAGAATCAAAATCTAAACTTTTACTTAGCCTATCATCAAGTTCGTGTTTTCTTCTCTCTCTTAATAAAGATAGTTTTCTTTCTACTTTATTATTATGCTATTTTGCTTTATAAGAGATGGATTTTAATTTTTCTTCGACTTACCTATAGATTTTATCAGTATTCTTTTGTTATGCTGTTTTTATTTAGAGTTCAGATTAATATAGCATTTTGAGATCATGATCAAAAACTTTCTTAACAAAGTTATATTATTTAAATTATTTAGGTGTTCTTTATACAATTTTTATGGATGGACCAATAATTTCTCTTCTGCGATTCACTAAATTCGAGAGATTATCTAATTAAATCTTAGAATTATTGACTACCTTTGAGATATTGTAAATGGTTTAAGTACATGGTTCTCGATTCATTATGATAATGTAAGAAATTGGACAAAGTTCTTGTATGATAATTTGGGCACTATTTTACTTAAGTTAGCAATCATATTTAGTTAAATTAAGTTCTTTCATGGCAAGCTATGTACGAGGAGATTCTAAATTTAGTCGCAAGAGTAACTGATTGATTTCTCGCAAATGTGATTTATCACTCTTACTGTCTACTTCTGTAAAAAAAGTTTTCATTTTTAATTATAAAATAAAAATATTGATTTCTTAAAATAAAGATATTCAGAATCAACCTAAGTTTTATTAAATGACAAAATAATATTAATAATAATAATATTGTTATACTAAAAGAAATTTGATAAAAATCTGAAAAAATAAGTTGATTCAATTTTATTCTTTTATACATTTGAACCCATTGATAGTAACATATTATATCACTATTTAATGAAGCAATAAATATTAATTTTTCAGAGTTTCTAAACAATTTTAAGAAAGGATATTAATAGTTTTCATATTTATATTTACTATATATGCATTATCAATTTTTTTATCATAAGATGGGTTTGTTTTTAAAATGAAAGAGACATATTTACTTAGTTTATAGATATAATAAGTAAGAGTAGAGTTATATTATAAATATGATATTTTATTATAATAATTAAGTTGTTCAGTTTCTTTTAAATTGGTTTACTATATAAGAGTGTAGATAAGTTAAATGATAAGTTTAGAATATCAATTTTTTGTTATATAATAAATTCTTTATAATTACAATTATTATATAAGGTAATTAAAAAATTTGAATCAGAAACATATCCTTAATTATTAAAATTAACTATGCTCACAAAAGCATTGGCCAGATAGATGCGTGTAGGTAATAATTATAATGTAATTTTTGTACAGCATTCTCTGCTGCAAAGAAGGAAGCATCAACTTAAACAAAACAGGCAACAACAACAACAACAGGATAGATTGCCTAAGTTATTGGTGCAGTTGTAGATGTCCAATTTGATGGTCCTTTACCTCCTATTTTGAATGCTTTGTAAGTTTAAGGAACAAGTCATAAATTGATATTGGAAGTGGCTCAACATTTAGGTGATAGCAGAGTAAGAACAATTGCCATGGATTCAACAGAAGGACTTATTCGTGGTTAACCAGTTTCAGATTTAGGTGGTCCAATTACAATTCCAGTTGGTCCTGAAACATTAGGACGTATTATGAATGTTATTGGTGATCCAATTGATGAAAGAGGTCCAATTGAAACAAAAATTAGATATCCAATTCACAGAGAAGCTCCAAGTTTTGTTGATTAAGGTAGTGGTGCTGAAATCTTGATCACTGGTATTAAAGTCGTGGATTTATTGGCTCCATATGCTAGAGGTGGTAAAATTGGATTGTTCGGTGGTGCAGGAGTAGGAAAGACTGTGTTAATTTAAGAATTGATTAATAATGTTGCTAAAGCTCATGGTGGTTATTCAGTATTTGCAGGAGTAGGAGAAAGAACAAGAGAAGGAAATGATTTATATCATGAAATGGTTGCATCAGGTGTTATCAATTTAAGTGGTGGATCAAGATGTGCTCTCATTTATGGTTAAATGAACGAACCACCTGGTGCAAGAGCCAGAGTTGGTTTAACTGGTTTGACAGTTGCTGAATATTTCAGAGATGAAGAAGGAAAAGATGTGTTACTCTTTATTGACAACATTTTCAGATTCACATAAGCATGTTCAGAAGTGTCAGCCTTATTGGGACGTATTCCATCAGCTGTCGGTTATTAACCAACATTGGCAACAGATTTAGGTTAATTATAAGAACGTATTACAACAACAAAGAAGGGATCAATTACATCAGTTTAAGCTATTTATGTACCTGCAGATGATCTTACAGATCCAGCACCAGCTACAACATTTGCTCACTTGGATGCTACTACTGTGTTATCAAGAGCATTAACAGAATTAGGTATTTATCCAGCTGTCGATCCATTGGATTCTTCATCTCGTATGATGGACCCAAATATTGTTGGTGAAAAGTAATTTATCTTATTTAAATTATAATAGACATTATACAGTCACAAGAGGAGTTTAAAAATTATTGTAAGATTATAAATCACTCCAAGATATCATTGCCATTTTGGGTATGGATGAATTATCTGAAGACGATAAACTCACTGTATCTAGAGCTAGAAAAGTACAAAGATTCCTTTCTTAACCATTCTTCATGTCTGAAGTTTTCTCAGGAAGAAAGGGTAAATTCGTTTCACTTAGTGACACTATTGCTGGATTCAGAGGTATTAAATCTCTCAATATATTTTAGCATTGCTTGATGGTGAAGGTGATGAATATCCAGAAAATGCATTCTATATGTAAGGTACATTTGAAGATGTCATCGAAGAAGCTAAAAGAGTTGCAGCTGAAACAACAAAATGAAATATAATTTAATAACATAAGATTTAAAATATCATCATTATTCTTATAATATATTAGATATTCTTATATAATAAAGAAATTATGCAGATTTTTTATATTTCTAATCATATTTCTGTATTT